CCATCAATCAACTCAACATCAATCAATCAGTTCCATCAGCTGGAGAAGAGAAACCTCCCAAGGAGAACTGGAAGGCACTGCAGGAGAGGGTGTGGGGGGTTTCCACGTTTATTCCGCCGTCTCCAGCTCTGCCAAGACCAAGCTGAGCTCGACAGCGCCAAGCGCAGAGTACGGCCGTGCCCGTGTGGAGACTGAGCTGCCCTCCCCACACCCAGGCGAAGGAGAATTTCCCGTCTCCAACAACTAGTGCTCCGCAGGAACGAGTCCCATCCAATCCCACGTTTCAGAGACCTACCGGATCCCAACATTGTCCCTTCTTCCGCAGCTCCTCTTCGTGGATTCCTAGAGCTGAAGCCTAGACCTGTGCAAACAGCTGGTCTAGCCTTTAAATATCAAATTAAAAAAATCAAGAAGAGGAAATTTTTTTCTCTTTAGGTCAACCCAGAATGAAACCTTCCTATTTGTCACAGCAAAACATTATTTTTTTTTCCTTAAGTGGAGACAATGAAAACGTTTTGTTCTCCCCAAAATAAAACGTTTCTCTGTTTTCAAATGCATGTTTGAAGGCACTTGCGGTCCCTCACTTTTTTTAATTAAAGGCAGGCAAATTTCAAATGGAGAATGTTACAGTGTAATAAAAAGCTAAAGCGTTTAATTTCAAGCATATCTTAAACAAAGCCTGCAGTTTTTCATCCCAAAAATACTCCTTTTTTTTTTTTTCACTTCAAACTTTGGTTTAAGTTGTAAATAATTTCAAAGGAACCAAAATAACTTTTATTTTCCCTACAAACAAATGTTTCATCTTAATTTCAGCCAGGCTAGCTTCAAGTGATTGGAGCCAGACTCTTCACAGTGGTGCCCAGTAAATGGACCATAAGTTGAAATACAGGAAGTTCCCTTTAAAAATAAGATTTTTTTTATTTTTTTTTTTTACTGTAAGGGTGGTCAAACGCTGGAGCAGGTTGTGCAGAGCGGTTGTGGAGTCTCCAACCTTGGAAATAATTAAAATGCAACTGGACACAGCCCTGAGCTGTTCTCCAGAGGCGCCTTCCAGCCTCAACCCTCCTCATTACGTGCAATTTTATCACCAACTCGAAAAAGAAGCATCCAGGCCCTGTGGTCTCCTCCCTGGGGATACACCAGCCCCGTTAAACCACCACGAGCTGCAGCATCGCCAGCCCTGCCGAGTCTGAGAGTCACACAGAGCTTCACGGTATTTTTGAACCTCCGGTTCCTGGGATTTTTGCGATTGCGTGTTTAAAATAAAATGCACATCTTACCCTCATAAAGGAAGAGAGAACCTGTAACCTCTGCGTGACCTGTAAGGGGGGAAAAAAAACCAGAAGGCAGGTTTGTACAAGAGAAAACCAGAGGCATTTAAAAGGAGCCGTCCTGTGAGCAGCTAGTCTGAACCAGCTGGATTCCTGCCGACCTTACACCCCCTGCTTGGACCCTCCCGTCTCTGGTGAGGTGTAAATTCCAAAAAAGCTTCTCCCAGAGTTGGGTGCTCAAAATGTCCTGTGCCTATGTGGATTCTCTGGAGTTTAGTAAGAGGTTTAGCTGGTGCTGGAGCATCGCGCTCATTGGGGCACCCATTCCTTTGCTGGCCATCTCATTAGACCTCGATAGCCCCAAAAGCTGGAGCCCACTGTCAGCTCGCGCTGGAACCAGCCACCACCAGCACCAGCAATTGCTGGGCACCATCAGCTGCGTCACCACCGTGCAACGGGCTTAGTAAAAATGCCAGTGACTTTGAGAAAGCTTGGGAAATTCCCGAGCTTGTCAAAAAGGGGTGGAAAGAGCAGCAAACAGTCTATGGATATTTCTCATTTGAGCTTCTTAGAGAGGGTCGGGCTCTGTCGTCACTTCAACCTAAAAACCTCGGATGGGATCAGGAAACAGAAGCGTGAACAGAGAGTATGGAAATCACCGACTCCATTCATCCCCCAGACCTCTCTCTCTGGGATCCTCTGCCGGATGAAAACATTTCAATGTCCTGGCCATTAAGAAAGACAATTAAAAGGCCCCAAATTTCAACAAGACTCCTGGAAACCACACAGACACGCACGCGAACGTGGCGAACGTGCACGCGGCGGCGAGCTCTCGGCTCCAGCAGCCTGTCCCACACAGAGTTTGGGGAGGGTTTGGGTTCAGCTGCCAATAGTCCCACATCCCCAGTTTGCCCAGTGAGCATCTCTTATCGGTTTCCTTTGCAAAGCGCCTTGGTCCAACAGCCGGACCCCTCCAATACCGGCTTTTGTTAAAAGCATCTCAGCCGGTTTTTAAAGAGCCATCAGGCTTCGGCTGGGGTCAAACTTGCCGTTTCGGTTTTCCCCTTGGAGAAAGCCACCGGGACACTCCCCCGCCATCTCCTGGTGCAAAGTGACCTCTACAGCCCTTTCCGTGCATCTCCCGTCGCAGGCAGAAGCGACATTTCCCACA